ATTCGATTTTTTAACGCTGAAAATTGATATATAATTGGTGTGTTGATTTTTTTTATTTTTTTGGGGCAAAGGTGTGTTGAATATGTTAGGTAGGATGTGATGTGATGGGTTCTATACTTTATCTGCATAACTGTATAAACTAAAAAGTTGTGTGGTTCAATTTGCTTTTGGTTTATAATTTTTTTTAAAGGATTTTTTTTAATTGAGAATAGAGATAACATACTAAACTCATCACATACTACGACTAGAACCGAGAACTTTCAATTTATAGTTTATCATTTTACAAAGATGTAGTGCGATTATAAAAACCATATTTTTTTTCTTATTTCTTTAAAATAAAGACAAAAATTTGAAATTGCCATCTCCCAAACCAATTGACTAGTAGTCTAGCACAAAAAAAGAAAGAAAAAAAAGGACATCTCTTGAGACTGTTTTAATGGCACTGGTTGCTGCTGGGAGGAGGGGACCCTGAGAGATACATAATTGATGGCTCACCCAATTACTCTATCTTTATCACTTTTGTTGCTTTTGGTTGCATTTGCTTGGTTTGTTTGACATAGAAATGTGCATGTATTATAGGTCCTACTTTTTCATACTTTTCTTCTGTATTTATATACATACTTGACAATTGCTTCTAATAATTCTGGTTCATTAATTATCATGGTAGGCCATGGGGAAAAACCCCATTGTTCTCATTGTGGAATTTGTTTTTGTTGTTTTTCTACATTCAACTCAACGGCAATCAAAAATTTGAATGGTTTTATATTTAACTAGCAAAAAAATAAAATTAAGGGCTAAAAAATCTTTATATAGTCCTTTTTTATTGAGGAATTCCTTCAATAAAAATTATTTGAGGAGCACCCTTGATTTTTTTTCAACGATCCAACCCATCTAAAATAAGCCAATACATGAATTATATGAGTTTATTTGCCTCAGATTTTGGTTCGGCTAAAAAGCGTTTTTTGACAACTGAAGCGTTTTTTTTATACTATTTGGCAGAAGAAAAAATGAACTTAAAAGTATTTATGAGTCATAAAAGATTTTTCTGTAGAAGCAACTACCATAAAGCCTATGAGCAGAAATGCTTGCTTACAAAAGTAATTTTAATTAGACTCTAACAAAATTGAGATTTTTACACATCGTGCTTTCAAAGAACAGGTGTAATCCAATTTGGGAGATTAATCATACTGTTTTTCATCTAATGAGTAACGACTGCTTATCAAAACTGTACTCAATTGACGTGTAGATATGATAGGGATGGTCAAACCCATTGAAGTGTAAAGTTAAATATATATAATATATTCATCTGATCATGCAAACAGATGGCAAAATATATAATTGATTGGATCCTGTTCCCCGTTGAAAATTACCTCCACTCCCCTTTCATCTTCATCTTCATCTTCATCTTCTCATTCATAAAGTAGTCATAAACCTTTTTCAATCAAACGTTGCCCAAACCATTTTATTATATTTTGAGCTTGGCCTAACCATATTCTGAAAATTACCTAACAGTTGCAAATATCTCGAGGAATTATTTTTTTAGAGCATCTTCAACAACTTTAGAATGTTAAAATAGGTGAGTCATATTATCAAAAATCTATCTAACAATCTTGTCAAACTCAATCATCAAAGCTGAAAAATCTTTCTTTCTCTTTAGAATTGGTAAGTTACTTCGGCTTTTCAAATTGCCACGTAAGTCAACAAACGTCAATTCGAAGATGCTCTAAACATTGTAGAATGACCCTGGCTTAAAACTATGATTGGACTTGTTTAGAAGCTAATTCTACCATGATTGAGCCTACCTATGATCATCACGCCCATACTTTAAGGTTAAATTTTACAGTTGTATGGCATTATGTATGACATTGAGGGAATAATGATATAATCCATAATTTAATATGAGATTAACAAGTCTTGTGAGTGGGGTTGTCATTAAGTCTCTCTCTTTCTCATACTAAATTACTAGCTGAAGATTACAATAATTATAAGGATAAATATATGATTATTGAAGCACACCTTGCAAGGCTAAGTTCAAGCTTATGATTGATTAAGCATTTATGCGGATTACTTTTGCTAATATAATCCATCTTCCTTTTTCTCCTTTATTCCCAACTGAAAACTTGGTGGCCTTCCCTTCCTACTACAACCAAGCACACATTGATGGAATCTAAGCAACATTTGATATTTGATGCCCCTTAATTTATGGCATTGGATTTATCCTTCCTTTGTTATCAAGTACTGTACCTTCCATAAGGCTGTCTCCAAATAATGTTTTAGATACATCATACATTTAATGGTTGCAGTATTCGCACTTTCCTCTTGTAGGGGATGCCCTTTTCATAGCATGAGGTTAGCGGGGATGCCATTTTCATTTTATCGCATCCTTAAATTATGAGTGGCCGAAGAGATGCTGGGGACAAATGAACACCTGCACATGTAATTGTCAGCCGTTAATGCATATAAATATGTGTAATATGCTATCACGTATGAATGACTAATTAACTCAATTCTTCGCTTTCTTTTTTCTCTAATTAAAAAAGCAGTAGAATATCCTAATTAATTTAAAGGGAATTGAGAATATTATAGAAAAAGACAAATATACCTTAAAAAAAATATATGTTAAAGAAGGAGCTGCACCAGAATATTAGAGGGCCCTAACCGCCCCGATGATTTGGGTATTTGTCAAACGCATGGAGCCCTCTGAACCCTTGTGTTGGGGCCTTGGGTTAGGTCGGAGGTCAGTGTATTTACAAGCTGCACGCTCATGGCCGGTTGCCCAAATAATAACAAAATCCAAAAATGTCCATATATCCAGTGTAATTATGAGAGTTAATAACAAATATGGCCTTTCTTTTGAAAACGGTCATATCCACAACTCAGAACCAAGCTTTCAGTTTTAAGTCAAAATAGGCAAACAAAATGTTTCACGGCCCAAACCGTTCACATTGCAATTTCCATATTATGTTATCATGTCGAAGAAGTTATTATTAGTCTGACATGTTATGTTATCATGTTATCAATCCGAATCACGTATAGTTAAGTTGTCAAAAAAGTTATCATTTCCGTCTGACATATTATGTTATTACGTTATTAATCTGAATCGCATATAGCAAAGTTGTTGAACTCGTTCGCTTTCTTCTTTCGAGTGGTAATGGAAAAAACTTAGTTGGAGACCAATTAGTGGTAAACACTATTAACAAGTCAAGGAAGCCGCCTAACATCACCAAAACTTGGTAATGATGATTTTTTTGAGGTCTGTTATTGGACGGTGGGTTTGGTCCTTGTAGGGTCGTCTGCGATTCTTTGTGTTGTTTGGGAATGTAGGGTCTATGATGTGCTTGCTATCTCTTCAGTTAGGATGGTTCTTAATTTCTTGTTCGTTTGTGGCCGCTGCTGGGCTTTATAATTATTGGACTTTCTTTTTTTTTTCCTTCTCTCTCTGTTTCTGTGTTTCTTGATTGCGACTTCTAACTGCTTACTTCCATTTTTTTCCTATTGATTTGAAAGTATGTAGTTGAGGCATGGCCACCCTACATTATTCCTGCTTGACTTTGCTTCTTTTTTTTTCTTTTTTTTTTTCTGTAGGTTTAAAAAGATAATAATAGATCTGAAGGTACATGTAATTATGTTTGATTTTTTTTTCTTTTTCTGTAGGTCTAAAGATGATAAAGATAAAAGAGTAAGAAATTTTGATCGCGGCCAACCCCATTGGCCGAAAGCTCCTCATCTATTGGTAGACCACTAGAGCTCACTCACTCTAAATTGTTTGAATTCAACCTGCAAAATAATGGCGGAAAAGAAAATGCACAATAATTTTGGACTTGACATACTCACTTAAAAAGAAAGATTATAGAATACTACAGTAGTACGGTTACGTGGTACATCTTTTACACTTGTTATAATATTAGTGGATATTAATACTATCACGTGACCATACTACCGTAATATTCTATAATTTCTCCTAATTTTTTTTTTTTTAAGAACAATTATTTTCTCAGTATCTACTAATTATGTTTGTTCAATAAATCTTGTTCCAAGATAACTGTTGTCTGCAAAATAATTGCATTATATAATATGCTATAATATGCCCATAATCAGACAAATAGGTGTGAAGTTGTTATTAAAGCGATAAAAGAGACCCTCCCGCAGAGCATCCTAAAGCACATTTGAATTTAAAATTCAATGAGACCACAAAACCCACAATCTACTATCTCATGCCATTTGTGAGTTACGACTTGTGAATCGACAAATTTTACTATTCTAGTCTCGTATTAATGCTTGATTTATCTTCAAAGCTAGTCCATTTATAACCTTAAAAAACCGTTTAGTGAGTTGGATTATATAATTGTATAGGATTCATAATCATAGTCAAATGTTTGGTGGCCTAAAAACACCATGGATTGGATTATGTCTAATCATATTAAAGCCAAATGTAGTAGCGCATTTCAATTAATCCTACCAAAATATTGGGATTAAGTCAGACTAAGTATGTCTAATCCTACTAAGCCAGGTCATAGCACATTTCAATTAATCCAACCCCATAATCATGTGTAGTACCACACACATTATTGGACTAGTGTCCGATATAGTTCAATGCAATCCAATTCTACCTCTTAATCCAACCCAATCTTAATCAATAAACATGACCTAAAGACCTCGTTTGGTGGATCGATCTAGACATAATTATTCCAATCAAACTGGATTAGAATCGTCGCCTATATTTGGTGCAACCAATAAAGATTTTGGAATGGACGTAGGTCTCAATAGGACATGACTCAAATCCGAGTTTTAGGTCAACAAGCTCTATCCAACATAGAAAGCCCAATCTAGTGTTGTCCAGACCGCCTTAGAATTTGTATTTTCAGAAACTCAAACTGGACCTCCTTTGCCACTAGAAAATAAATGTAATTGGGCTAAGACTGAGCCATTAAAATTGGGCCTCTTTTTGTTTGTGTCTCTCTTTGGCTCAACTAAGCCCACATTTCGGCTCATCACAAACAAACCAGTGAGCCACTGACTCACACAGTATGCGCCATATGGCGGCGGCATCACCGCTTTTAACCTCACCACCAACAGTATCTCCATTTCTCCGACAAACCCGAAGCTACAAAAGGACCTTTATCCGGTCGTCCTCATCAGCATCATCGCCAATGGACCTTCACCACCGGAAACGAGTCGTCGTATGCGGCGGCGGCGTCATCGGCGTATGCACCGCCTACTTCTTAGCCAAAAGCGGCGCCGCCGTAACCCTCGTCGAGAAATCCTCCGTGGCTTGCGCTGCATCCGGAAAAGCCGGCGGCTTCCTCGCCCTCGATTGGTGCGACGGCGGGCCCCTCAGTTCCCTCGCCCGCGCCAGCTTCAACCTCCACCGTTCGCTTGCTCAAGAACTCGACGGCCCCAATTCTTACGGCTACCGATCCCTCACCACTCTCAGCCTCACCGTCACTGAGTCTCAGAGCTCGAAACCCTCCGGAAAGTCCGCTTTGCCGTCTTGGGTTGATGGGCCGGGTCGGAGTCCGAGAACCATCGGGACCACGGAGACCACGGCCCAGGTCCATCCTCAGCTCTTTACCCGGACCTTGATTTCGAAGGCGGCGGAGGATTATGGCGTCGACGTGGTGATTGGGAAATTGGAGCACTTGGGAGTGGACAATGGGCGAGTGAACTCGGTGGTTTTGGAGGGAGGACGAGTGATTGACTCGGACGCTGTCGTTTTGGCGCTGGGGCCATGGTGTGGGAAATTTGAGCTGTTGTCGTCGTTGTTCAGAGTGTACGGTATAAAGGCTCATAGCATTGTGTTGGAGCCTAAAGAACCTGAGGCTATAACCCCTCATGCGCTTTTCCTGAGTTACTATCCGTCTCAAGGAGGAAAGCCCTTGGACCCAGAAGTGTACCCTCGCCCCACAGGTACCTAAGTTCCAACCTTCGATTGACATTTTACAATGATCAAACTATTTCAATTTATTTGATTCGGAAAAAATTAACACATTCTGATCATTTTTTCTTATCTGGGTTTCCATATTTCAAATCATTTGATTAACATGTTAAAGTAATCTGAAGAAGTATACATTTTGTTCAGTACTCTCATCTGGGTATCTTAAACCTAGTATGCTTGCAAACTAAAACTGGTTGAAAATTTCCAACAAGACAATGCCTGGCGTTTCATAACAATGCTTCAACTTCAAAAGGGCTAATCTGGCATGATCTATTAGCAAAACCTTTTTCAAGTTTAGTGACTGAATGGTTGATTGGATTTCTGGATTGCAGGTGAGGTGTATGTGTGTGGGATGTCCGCAGAGGCAGAGATACCGGATGATCCGGAGCAAATAGTGGGCAATCCGGAGTCGATAGAGGTGCTGAAAAGGGTGGCAAGCAGTGTGTCAAGCCATTTGAGAGAAGGAGAGGCACAGGTGAAGGCAGAGCAAGCATGTTTCCTGCCCTGTACTGATGATGGTGTCCCTGTGATTGGGGAGGTGCCAGGGGTTAAGGGGTGTTATGTGGCTACTGGGCATAATTGTTGGGGGATTCTGAATGGTCTTGCCACTGGAGCTGCTGTGTCTGAGCTTGTGCTGGATGGGAAAGCTAGCATTGTAGATCTCAGTCGGTTTAGTCCGGCAAGATTTGTTGGGCTTAAGAAGGGTTAAGACATGAATCTGGTGTAGACAGATTTAGAGCATTGAGGAAGTGGAGTGAAGTCATGTTGTATCTGGAGGTAAATTAAATACAGGTTCATTTTCTTTTTTATCTGAAAACTTTGAAAACATCCCCACACTTACATGCTGTATATCTGTCGACAAAAGCAAAATGTTAAAGAACTTTTACTTATATCAGTGTCAACTGATAATATCTTTTTAAACCACTGCGTGTAGTGTTTTTTTTCTTTTTTCAGTTGAAGGTAAGAAAGAATCTGCATATGGGCGTTGGGGTTGCTGATTCTTTTTATTTAGGCAGGCTGTATTTGATCATAGGTAGCTATCAGTCAGGAATCAAGCAGCGGCGGTCAAAAGAAATAAGCTGTTGCAGTTGCCAGCAAGCAAAGCAAGAAAGCATGTAGCTAGCAGCTGAGTATGGTAGTTGGAAGATAGTTAAGACTGTCAGGAGTTTGTGTAATTAGCTGTAATTGTTTGTTCCCTGCCGTGTGTGAGATGCAACGCAAAGGAATGCGGTTGTATAAGTACACAAGCCATAGTAAAAATGACTGATATTCATGAAATGGAAGATTACAAATTAGTAGGCATCAATCTTCTTGCCATCCAGCTGGACCCTTGTCTTTTTATGTTTTATAGGTCTGGAGCTGGACACTTGTTGCTCTGGAAAATTTGCACACTAATGTAAGTTTCGGTTATGGAACCAGGGCTATTCTGAGAATAAAACGCATATGCACCGGAGATGTCATTGTGGCGGTATGTATTCTAACTTTCATATGCTACACTGGCGGCATCCCGAACAATCAGGGGCGGTGAATCTATGTTGGGAGCTATATGGGCTATCGCCCATAATACTACACACAACTAAAATAATAATTAAAAAAATAACTCAAATTGTTTTATTTTGTATTTACATTGCATGTTTTATTTATTTATTTATTTATTAGCTTCTATCTTATGTATTAGATGTCTTTTGAGGGGTATGACTCATTATGTCCTCCCTACCTAGATGTATTATTTTTTATTATCAATAAAAATTGCTCATGACGTTGAGTTTCTTTGTAAGGTAAATCCAACTTAATCCATTCTAAAATATTGGATCCGTCATTGCAAATAATCACACATTATCGTTGTGTTTTAATTTTTTATATATTACAGTACATGATTGGCTTGAAATACCATGTAGCATCCCCTATTATATAGCATTTTTATTACATGAAAGTTCTTGTAGCCCTGCCTTATCCTGTTACTGAGAATGCAAAAATCAAGCATCGGCCTTTAAGGCCTCGTGTTTGGGTCAAAATTGTAAGCCCATTTTTCTTATTGTTAAGAATCCATGCAAACACGTTGAATATCGAGTTGACACTCTCTCTCGTTTGGCTCCAAAAACAAAAAAACAAAAAAAGTTTACACTCTTCCATATGCATGCTAATCTTGCATGTGAAGAGGTCGACGGATAGGAGGAGAAAGACAAACATGCAGCTGCAACCCTATTATGTACCATGCAAACAAATCAAATTTACAGCCACGTGTAAAGAAGAGTCTGATATCATGTTAGACAATCACCAATCTTAAAAAAACCAAACAATATACATCAAACTTACAAGACCAAGAGAGGGATTGTTCATTGTTCCAACTTCCTGCTATAAAGAGTCCTCCTCGCTAACAGCTAAAGTTGTGTCATTCCGTACCACTAGACACCAAATTTGGTGAGCAAATGTGTAAGTGATACACATGAGCTGGGCGTCCTTTGTGTTGTGAGAGTAAATAATTTGAGGGAACCCACATGCCAAGGGAATTAATAAAAAGCAGTAAAGAAAGAAGCCGTTGTTTAACAGCTTAGCTTAATAACACTGCCTCAATTTAATACTTTATAGTACAATCTCTCTGACTCCAAAACATTTATATTGCTTATGAATAATATATCTACATATATGTTTTTATAATCTATTCTATTGAGACGAACAATAATATATTAAATTTACATACATTATATGTATGTTATGACTCGAACTTAAAACCTTATATAAAAAAGCAATTACTATAAACCGTTACACTAGTGAGTATAATAGAATTTTAGTTATTTGAAAAACTAATGCTAGCTCGCATCATATCATTCTCATCATGACTTTATTCCTTACGGATAGGAATTTTGTTCCCCAATAATAAAATAAAATATTATTATTATTATTAGGTGCATCAATTGTGATGAAGATTTTTCCCAATAAATCTGTGCCAAATGTTTGCTGATCCCCAATGCGTGGACACAAATTAAGACAAAAATGACAGGAGATAAAGCAAGCAAAAACCATGTTGGTGCTCACAAGTTACATTAGAAAATTTTAAACCCAATTTGTATTTGATTAGCGTAGTAATCTAAGTTGATGGGTTGAGTTGTTAACTCTGTGGCTTTATGCTCACGGGGTCGACTTCATTTACCGAAGCTTGACCAACTAATTTCATATTAATTCAATTCAATGTGTTCATTCTCTTCTGATTCTAGTCTCATTTACAAATTATATGTACTTAAATTAAATTAAATGGCGTCAATAGCAAGTGATATAGCACGTGCTCTTACAGCTTAGATTAGCTTTTCAATGGGATCCAAGTGGGCTATTAATTATATTTGGAGCTATGTATGTGCTTAGTTTTATTTTTATTTTAGGGTTTAATGCTGCGCTAAGCATCGTTTTGAATAGGATAAAGTGATGTTTGGTCAAATTTACTTAAGTAATGAGTAACAGCCATCCCTCTTTGAGAGCTTACACAAGGGGTCTTAGCCCTTTTTTAGTTTTAACAAATTACTCATAAAGAGAGATTGTCGGCAATAAGACTCGAACTTAGACATGTACTGCACGAAGAAAACAATCTTTACCAATTGAACCAATTCTTATTGGCCTATTCACTTTGAAGTAATAATGATAAGAGTAAATATTGATATGACAAGGCAAATGAGGTTTGCCTATCCTTTTGGCCCTTCCTTTAGAGATGCTCATTAAGCAAAGAAGCCACAGGGACAAAGCCAAAATCCACTGCTGACTGCCCTACCAATCACTTGAGAATCCCAGCGCCATACTTATGGTTATGGCCCAAATGTGCCCATGTTTACTAGAAAGTCTTGGATATTTCTACTTTATAATTGTCCCCTCTCTCTCTCGAACTGTGTTTGTGATTTATCTGTCCCTCAATCAGTTGCACAGTACATTAAAAAAAAATCAACTGTTTTTTTTCTTTTTCACCAAACTTGGTAAAGTAAATTTTTGACTCTTTTGATGATTTGCATATCATTTTTTTTGGTGACGTGACATAGAGAGGGGTCTATAATTCTTTCTCTATTGGAAGGGGCTAATTGAAACATAATTAACCTCTTTATTCCCCCAAAGTTTGACCAATTAAACAAATTTATAGCTGACATGGGGGAATTGACATTTTAGAACCCATGCAAATATATAAAATTACCCTCATCATCACCTATAATTAAGAAAATGTGGTTCATAGGATACTTCTTTCTTAACCTCTAAGACTATTGGAACAAATATTCTATTACTTTATTACATATATTCAACCTTCAAATCCATAGCAGTAACTCGGGTCTGAATTCAGCTTCTACTGTACTGATGGAATTTATGGGTTTTCCTCTCCTGGTTGTTGTGCTCGATGATCAAGAACTCAACCACCTAGAAATAGTTCAGACTTTTTTTGTTTTTTTCAAATATAATATAAGCGATAAATTACTTTAACTTAGTCTGATTTACAGAGAGGAAAATCTGATTTACAGAGAGGAAAATCAGAACTTGAGTGCATGGTGCGTGCTCACTGCCCTCACCAACCAACTTAATCCACAAAATATTTTTTTGTTTGTTTTGGGTAAAGTAGAAAATGAAAACCTTAAGAGATGTCACAATAGAGAAGTAGAAGTGAGGAACACGATCCGTTCATTGGGGGGAAGAAACCAAAGTAGAGTGCTTGCTTCGTTCACTTCAAGTAAGTTCAGCTATGGTCTTGTCTTATCTTCCTATATGGACAGTCCAAGGTGTCACTTACTTTCTACCTTAGAGGTGAGAAATTAATTGCTTTCGTATATACATGGTGGGTAATGTTTGCCCCGACCCGACTTCAAGATGGCAAGAACTATGAAAAATTATGTTGATACTTTGAAAGAAGTCTTGTTCTCTAACCCCTTTTCGTATAAATAGACCCCTCCATATGCCAAAGCATGAAATGATTGAATTGGCTCAACAACAACAATGTGATGATTACTCTTGTGAGTCAGATAAAGAGGAGGATGCTAGTTATAATTAGGAATTTACTGACAAATTAACATCTCTTTATTTTTTTTTTCCCTTAAGTTGAAAGATATTTTGCAAATTTTAGGTTGTTATTGCATTTACAAATTCATACTTCAGTGGTCACAAGCTCTTATTTGTGTCTTTATAAGAGGTCATCATGAGTTCCATCAATACATTTAATATTTTTGAGTCATGACATATCATAAAGCAACAACTTATATACTAGTGTTCAACTTAAAACAATGAGAAGCGAGTCTCATTCTGATTACATAAAATAAACTTGAAAGAACGAATCTTGCTTGAGAAAGAGAGATATAATCAACCCTATGGTTAATAAATGCAGTGCACGTGGCAATATTACTCTTGAAACCTAACGTCTACATGTGACACATGATAATTACTCTTTTTTTTTCTTTCTTTTTTTTTCGTTTGTTATGCTCCAATTACTTATTATTTAGAAAGTGAGCAAATCATGTATAAGAGAAAGAAAAATTTCCTAAACTTACTCGATGGAATAAATTATTGTATTGTACTATAACATGCCCATGTGTATGTATTGTACTATAACATGACCATGCGTATGACTAGAACTCAATCAACTAGACATACATGCGATCACCATTGGAAGGTCTTTGAAATCTATTTTGCTTAGTTATTGAAGTAGCAATATTTGACATATATAATAGAGATGTTTTTCCAAAAGGCTCGAGAAGATTCTTAACCCTGGTAAGTTTTAGCATTCGTTGTCTATGCCATTGTATTAGCTTTGGTTGATCCAGATTGACCTTTTGAAAAGTTATTTCCTTTGGTCATCTTCCAAAAACAACCATGGCCCTACCTCCACCTTCAACAGTCAAAAACATCTCTCCTCTCTCACCCTCTGTCATCTGTTTCCTGCTTTTTAACATAAAGAAAGAAAAAAAAAAAGATAAATGCTCTGGAGCTTTTCAAGCCCATTTTATTCTTTAGAAAACATGGGTCTTAAAGTTTAGGAGTAAAAGCAGCTTTTCTTGACAGTAGACAGGAAAATTATACCCTAATCTGAACACAAGCACTAGACTTTTCAACCTTGGATTAATTTATATGATACGGATCACCTACTCTTTTGTTATTGGTTAATTTTTTCTATAAAGAGCCAAAGTGGTCAGTAAATGAAGCTGTCCTCGCATAATTAAAGAAAGTAAGAAAGGAGAAAAAGATTAGATGGCGATGGATGATCATGAGATAAAGCATGCATCCCCATGGTCTTAAAGCTTTTAGCTTTTAGCTTTTAGATCAATTCTTGACTCAAGGAGCTGCATGCACTGGTGCAGTGGAGGACCAAACCCAGAGAGCTAAGCAAGACTTGGCGACAACAGAAATTTAATGTAAAATGTGCATCTTGCTTTGGCATTTCTTAAAAGTTCCAAAAAGGAGATATGGTGGTCCGGCTAGAGAGCCTGTCCGCCATAA